TCCCGGGATTTGCTTGAGAAGCATCTATGGATGCAAGCCAGCGTTTTGGTCGCTTTACTAGCCGCAGCATCGCACTGCAGGCTCATGTTCATCTTGTGGTCAATGATGACCCCCAAGTCTCTTTCTTGCATGCCCGCCCGCCCGCCTCACATTCCGGCACCACGTAGCTCCTGGCTGCGTGGCTGGACAGTGGGGCTCAGCAGGAGCCAGCCTGGCTCCAAGGACTGGGGCAGTGGCTGTGGTCCTCCCCACTCTCCTTTCTCCCCCTCCCCCCCGCTGCCTTACCTGAATTTCCTGCTCCAGCACAGGCATGAATAGGAGCCTGTGGTCCTATTCATGTCCTGGTGCCCCATGGTCCCAGGCCAGAAGCCTCTGCTAGGCAGGGGCCTCTGGGGGGCACTGGGCAGGCCTTGGTCTTGCAAGAGCCTACCGGGGCTTCCCTTGGGTCCTACTGCTCCTTGCTCCTATCATCTTTGATAGGAGCCAGGGGCAAATATTAATTTTCAAAAATTTTTAGGGGCCCTGTGGGATTGATAGAATGGCGTGGCGGGCCGCATTTGGCCTGTGGGCTGTATTTTGTCCACCCCTGATTTAGAGGGCACAGAAACGTGTACAGATGGCAAAACGTGATAAAAGTTCAGCAGATTATATCCGTAATAATTTTGAGAAGAAAAGCAAAGACAGTTGTGCTCTCAACTTGTCACTGCAAAAGCTCTCTGTCCTAGCTGTGTGCTGAAGCTGGGACTTGGGTCTTGAGTAGCTTATTCTTCTTTATAGGCCAATTATTTGAACAGTGGTTTTCAAACTTTCTGAAAACACAGAGCCCTCATATCATTTCTGTCATATCATTTCTGCCATGGAATCTCTATCCCTGTCCTAAAAACTGATGCAGAGCCAGGCAACCTAGCCTGACAGTGGCAGTGCAGCCTCCTGGGCCATGCTGCTATTTCCCCCACTCTGCTATTATTTCTAGTCTCTTGTTGGAAGCCCTGGTGACCTGTCAACCTCAGATCCACAGAACAGTTTGAAGACTCCTGCATTAGGGAAGAACACACTGCATAGATGTTAAGTCATTTAAACCTAGATGCTTACCTTCATAATCATAATGGCAAAAACAAATCTTTTTTTAAAAAAATAGGAATTTAATAGATGTATATTATTGGTATATAAGGAAGACTGTTTATGCTTCTATTTCTGAAGTCTCTGGTTTCTACAACAACCAGACCTGTATGCTTTATAAATCTGCTTTCTGCAGACCTGCAATTTGCAATATATCCAAGTCAGCAATAGGGGAGAAAATGCAACCCATTCTACTTAAAAACTTCCATTGGCATTACTAGCTTTTTATCTTTTTTTTTTTTTTTTTTTTTTTGAGAAAATACTCAACAGCATAAAAATTCTCTTTTAATAATAACATTCTAGCACAGAGATGTCAAAAATATGGTCAACAGGCTAGATTCAGCCCACGGGACTTCTCACTGCAGTTGCCAGCAGAAAAGGAGTTCCTGTGGCCACTCCAGCATTCAGGGTAACCTTGCACAATTTTTTTAAATTTGTCAGCTTGACTGTTAAAAACCAGTGTTGGTGCCTTGGTTTAACCTCAGTGGTTTTCAGCCACCACTGCCAGGTAAAAGTGCCCCCCATGCCTGGGCACAGCCAGACTGGGAAGGGCTGCAGGACCAGTGTGTACTCCTCCTGCATTAGGGACCCTCTAATAACCCTAAAGTAGGCAGGAGATCATACTCTTGGTGCAGCCCTTTCCAGTCCAACCATGTTTCCTGGAAACATTGCATGGGGTAGGTGGAATTGTTCCTTCTGCCTCTATGAAGAGCATGATGGGGGTTGACCAGGACGGGCTGAGGCCAAAAAAAAGGTTCTTCACCCTGTTTCAGGCTTGATTACCCTAATACAGTAGGAGCACATTCATTCCACTGCCCTTCCTGGTTGGGCTGTGAATAAAGCATGCAGAGTACTTTTTTACTGAGGTATGGTGGTGATACCTGCCTTGTAACACATCTGAAAGGGTCTTGTGGCACCTTGTTTGAGATCCACTGAACAAAATGAAGTGATTTAGTTCTATAAACTCTTGACTTCAGAAATAAAAGGATAAAAAAAAAAGTCTTCCTTATATACTGCTGTTGCAGTGACAGCTTGGCAGTTGCAGGCATGCTGGCTAAGCAGTGCTGGTGGCATTAACTCTGTCAGCTAGTGCTAACACAGCAGCCTTGGCAGCCGTGGCAAGAAACCACACAAACCAGCTCCAGAGGTGGGTCGTCCAGCCCATGAGGAGCTATGCAGTCTAGATCCAGCCCCTGGGGCCAAATGAGCTTGACAGCCTGTTCTAACATATAAAAGTAATATAAAATACATTTCTTTACAAATACTAATAGGATCTTTCTCAACTCTGTAAGTGTTATCTTTGTCTTACAGATGGAGAAACATGCAGAGGGCTTGCCCTGAATTAAATGCAGAGTCGGGCTATTCTGACTCAGAACACAGAGGTGTGAATATTAGGATTAGCTGTCTGGAGTTGTTACTCCCCACCCTATAAGCAAATTACTAGAATTTACAACATAATATAATCCCTGTCTAATTTAACAAAAAGACAAGTATTAAATAAGGAGTTGTTTGTTTCAGAATATCAAGAGGCACATTAACACTTGTTATTGAGTTGCATATATGCTTTATAACTTTTAATCTGACAGGATTATTTTATTTTAATAAGGAAGGCAATTAAGTTATATTTTTCACATACGAATTTTTTTAAGTTCTTTTCTTTTTTTAAATATTTGTAGTTACTTTATCATCTCAATAGGGCTGGACAGAAAAAGGAAGTAGATAGCCTTGTCTGGTTCTTCTACCCTAGAAAAATGTTGTGGTACAAGTTTCCCTCTATTTATGCAGTACATACGTTCGTGGAGAATGCCGCATAAATGGAATTCGCATAAAGCGAACCTACTTTATAATGTAAGAAATAGGGATAGGTTCCTGTGTCGGCTGCTCCTGGGACCACTCCAGCACTGGCTGGGGTGAGTGTGGACAACCAGGGCTGGGGTGAGTGGGGCCATGGCCCTTTCCTCTGCCTTGGGTGGTGTAGGGCACAGTACTTGCCCCAGCCCCAGCTGTAGCAGTCCCGGGAGCTGCTGGCACCAGCTGCCTGCAGCCACTGGGCTGCACTGTGCCACAAACCCCTCAGGGCTCTGCTTGTCCCCACTCACCCCAGTTCCTGCTGCAACTGTCCCGGGAGCAGCCGATGCCAGCTCCCTGACCACTCCAGCACTGGCTGGGGTGAGTGTGGACAACCAGGGCTGGGGTGAGTGGGGCCATGGCCCTTTCCTCTGCCTTGGGTGGTGTAGGGCACAGTACTTGCCCCAGCCCCAGCTGTAGCAGTCCCGGGAGCTGCTGGCACCAGCTGCCTGCAGCCACTGGGCTGCACTGTGCCACAAACCCCTCAGGGCTCTGCTTGTCCCCACTCACCCCAGTTCCTGCTGCAACTGTCCCGGGAGCAGCCGATGCCAGCTCCCTGTAGCTGCTGGGCTACACCATGTCCTGGTGCAGGCAGCTGGCGCTGGCAGCTCCCAGGGCCCTGCTGCAGCCGGGCCTGGGGTGAGTGACACACCCTGTACTGCCCAGGGCTCTGCTTGTACGCACCCACCCCAGGCCATGCTGGAGCGGCCCTGGGAGCAGCCGACACCAGCTGCCTGCACGGGGCACGGTGCAGCCCAGCAGCTACAGGGAGCTGGCATCGGCCACTCCCTGGGCAGCAGCAGCAGGAGCTGGGGTGAGTGGGGACAGGCAGAGCTGGTGCCGCAGCTCCCGGGCCACTGCAGCCAGGGCTGGGGTGAGTGGGGCCATGGCCCTTTCCTCTGCCCCCACTGACTTACCTGCTTGGGCAGGGGTGCTCTACACTGATGGCGTAAGAACGAATTTACCTTGCATGTATTGAATTATGGGTCTAAATATGCTCATCGCATAAGAGTGAATTCACATATAAAGAACCCGCATAAATTGAGGGAAACCTGTATTTTATTACACAATAAGCAATCTTACAACAGAAAGGTTCTCAAAAGTTTTTTAGGCTGCAGGAGTCAGCTTTTTTTTGCAGAAACTATACATTTAGGTCCAAATTGCCTGTGATGTTATTTTTTATTATTTATAAATATTGAACGGTTTTTCCTTTTTGTTGTTTTCAGCTTGTGACAAAATTATCTGCTTTTTCAGGGAACCCTCAATTTAACTATGTTAAATATAACTTAGGGTGTCAGTTATAGTGTGCAATACCGAAACTTAATGAGTTGAATAATTAGCTTATACTTCAGCAATAGCATTAGTGTCACATGTGACTGCAGGCAAGGAAGGAGATATCTAACTGGAAAGCAAAACCAATGTATTTATAAACTTGAAAACTCTGAAGTTGGAAAGAAACTCTTGACCTTTATTTATAGTGAATTGTAGAAGCAGTAAAAGATTCAAAATATTATATGGTACATTAACATTTTCAACTTAGGTAAATGTTCTGTAAAACCTCCATTTTTCAGACTCCATCAGCTGTACAGAAGATTAAACAGCTTCTTAAAGATAAACCTGAGCATGTAAGTACAAAAGAAAGGCTTGCTTGTATGCTCTGCTAATATTTTTAGCATTTCTTGTGATGCTCACTTTGTCTATTTGAGCAGCTATGAAGTATATGTGATCAATGTTAAACAACTCAAACTCAAAACAAGCAACAAATGACATATTAATGGTACTTGCTATTCATTATTTCACTTCAAAATCTTTTTATACACTAATATTTACTGTTGTATATAAGAATCAAATGTTGTGAGAAAAATTACTTTGGGAAAAGCACATTGAGTTGTTTGTAATTTTAGAAAAAGAGGAAAGTTCAGCATGCATTCTTTAAAGAGATTTGTCAAGACTCAAAATATTTCCAAGCTAGTGTTTTAAAAGTAATCTAACCAATTGCTGTTAGCAGTTATCTAAAACACCAAAAGAACCTTTCATTAAAAGTTGAGATCAGTTGCTCTCATGAGAGTCTCCATTTCTCAAAAAGATTTTGTTGGTGAAGAGATATATATGCATATAATCTTTGATAATATTTTGGCCCATATGGCTAGCTAATATTTGAGCCCTATCTGGCATTTCAGTTAGGAAGAGAAATTGATTACACCACTCAGTTGTTATGTTGGTGTGATCTTGCTTTTTTTTACAAAGTCCTGTAAATACAAATTGTGACTTCCTTGGTCAGAAATACAAGTCTCTTTCCAGGCAGTGCACCACTCAGCTTTCCTATCTGGCCCACTCCTGCAATTGTTTCTCATCTGCTTGGCTTTCTGTCTCACCTGTACAGCTGCTACCAGTCAGTCACTTTCTGTGTTTGCATCTTGTTCCAGGAAGCCCTCAGTCCACACAATTTAGTTTGTCATGCATCCCATTGTCTTGAGTTTTTCCAGCAATCACTAATACATAGGAATTTAACTGCTTCTTCCATTCAGCCTGAAAACAAGGATAGTGTATTCATCAGCTTTAAGCAGTGTTGTTGTTACCTGCAGAATTAGTGGCACTTAATAGCTGCCACTGGCCTCTTTCTCCATAACTGCACGCATAATTTCTTTTTACATTTACTAAACAATTCTGAGTAAACTTTCATGGGTAGGGTGGTAGCCTTTTTATTAGGAAGAGGCAACGTCTGTTAGTGTAGACTGATTTCTGTTCCTTGTCTTGCTGATAACTTCTCATCTGTTGTTTATGCACCTGCTCTCAGGCCTGTCTGCTGACATTACTCTTCCTTCAGAGCTTTTGACAGCAGTACATGTGCTGTGGAACATATGCCCAGAACGTGCGATGCTGACAGATCTGTAGCAGCATTACTGCTAGAGTCTGAAGAGCATTCTGGCAAGATAGTGCCTGTTGAATGGACTGTAGTAGCCAGCAAAAGGCATGGGATTATCTGCAGATACCTTCCACCACAGCTGCCAGATAGTAGCAGAAACCCTATGTCATTCAGCAGAGGTGGCTCAACTGTTGACAGAAAGGAGAGTTTTACCAGCACAGAGAAGTTTTGGTTGTAGATGCACTCAAAATATTACCAGCAAAATTTGGTAGAGTAGACTAGGCCTTGGCCAGACGCAACATCGTCTTGGATAGCTACAATAATTAGGAGTGGTTGGAACCTATCCACAGAATTGTGCTAGCCTTTATGTCCTACTGGGTCAGTGTAAAACAGACTTTTATAAAGTTGGAAAGACTTGAGTAGTAAGGACTAAGTGGTAACATGGTATTGAAGATTGCCACTGAAGTAATTTTCCAGCATTCTGAAATTAGAAATTGACCAATTATCGTAGGAGTGCTGTGCAAATTTGACTCAGCCTCAGTCTTGTCAACATTATCTTACCATCTGCTCCCTTAATAACAGTGTCTACATTGCTCTTGAAACAGAAAACAGTGAAGTATTGTAAAAAATAAAACATTGAAATGCAAAACCACTTGGCTTTCAAGCAAAATTTTTCTCATCTAAACTGCTTATGAGACCTAACACCTAAATAGGGTGCCAGCCATTTTGTTGGAATTTGTTTTTATACAGACTATATTTTTTTTCTGCAATAGAAAATCTGTGGCATAAACTTGATCTTAGTGAAATCCCAAAAACTATACTGTGATAGAGCTCAAAACTATGAGATAGAATGATGGTAGAAATGCCTCAACTCTGTCCACATTCATTGGCATTATTGCTGTCACTAGTGTAGACTGGGTCTGAATTTTGTCATTGCTGACCCAGCCTAACTGTTGGGCTTCAATTGAGTATTTTGCATTTAGTTACTTCATATCCTAACTTTTGCTTCTCTAGTCAGTCTTGTGGGGGAGGGTGGGTAGCATTGAAAGAAGTTAAGCCCTTCTTCCATAAAACTGATTCCTCTGTGTTGAGCTTTACCTTCTAAGGGAGAAAAAAACTTGCATTGAATTCACATGCATCTATTTTCCAATCATCTGATGTTGTTTCAGGTTGGTGTTAAAGTTGGAGTTCGTACAAGAGGGTGCAATGGACTTTCTTACACATTAGAATATACAAAATCGAAAGGAGATTCTGATGAAGAAGTAATTCAAGATGGTGAGTGTTTTATTTGAAGCAATAGAGGGAAAAATTGAGGCAATGTAACTTTTTTACAGAATTTCTAAACTGTTATAGTATGGTACCACGCATGCAGTCTGGACTTTATTAGCTCCATCAAGTTACAAAGGGAGAAATCCTGGGCTTCCTTAGACATTGCTGGATTTGAGTCCATTAAGACAGTATAAAAATAACTGTTCACAGTTAGCAAAAACTTGCAGGGTTAGATTCAAGGCTGCTGGTGCAATAAGTGCAAAATGCATCTCTCTGTATCTTTCTTATTGCACATCCAGGCTGTACTGTCCCTTGGAGCTCTCTAGGGTTGTTGGTGGCTTATCTGACTTACGCTTCAAGTTAAGACAGAGGTGTCAGAAGAGTTCCTGGTAGAGATTGTGACTACAGCAGCCAGATGAAGGTTCTGCCAGCCCAATGTTTCAGGATACATCTAATAAAGGACTTTGACTCCTAGGGACTTAAATTGTATTTTAGTCCTGATGGCTGAATTGCTTTTAAAAAAGAGATTCCCTGTTTCGCTGTATCCTAATCCTCATTGGAATTTACACTCTTGGCTTTAAAATTCCCCACATTTCTGAACATAACTAAACTGCCCTGGTGTTGATACGACAGAACAACTTGACATCTAGTTCATGCCTAGGTTCATTTGGGATCCATGAGCAAGGTGTACCTGAACTCAGGTACTTTGAGCTCAAGTTCTTTATCTGATAGGCCTTCCTAAAGCATGCCAAACTTGTACCAGCAAAATTGGGCCCTCTCTGTCACTTGTAACTGGGTGTCCCCCTTTTTTAAATCTTCCACTTGAGGAATCGGTGTCAGCAGCAGTAATAATGGTGCTTATCTTACAGTTTCATGCAAGGTTGCACAAGTCGAGCTTTACTGAGGGCTACTTGCCAGGTACATTTTCCAAGAGGACTGCTGCTAGTAGGATCTGTTTTGATTGGATGGAAACCCTCAGCTTTCAAGCAGGAAACCATATTTCACATGCAGAAGCCTGAACAGATCAATGAATCACTGCATGGCAAGAGCACAAGACTTGCTTTTCTGCTGTTAAATTGCTTTTCATTTAATAGGAATTATTATAAAGGTCTTCTAGGATTGCCCACCAGGTCATATGCCTATAGCCCCCATTTCCCAGGAAAGGGCTCTGAGTACCAGACAAGTGAAAGAACTCCCCCTCTCCTGACGAAGCCATGCCAGTGCAGAAAAAGAGAATTTGTGATTCATTTAGCTTGAGAGAGAGCAAGAGGGGTGGGAGAGTGATACTGTAGTCTAGTAGCTGGCACTTTCTCCTGAGAGTAGTGAGATATGGACATGCCTTACATCAGTCTGAAGATGTCACTGAACTCAAGTCTTTTGATTCTAGATGAGTGCCCTAACCACAAGTCAAACCTATAATAAAGTGAGGCCCAGCGGCACATTTTCATCCCTACACTAGTTTTTTTCTTTTTGGTTTTTCTTTGTTAAGAAAAGAGTGAGCTCTGCTGGCTTGTTTGAAAAAAGGGAATTGTAGGCACCTAAATGAAGCATTCCTGGCTATGGATCCCAAGTGAGCAGAGGTACCTCTGTAGTGCTTGTCTCAGTACTGCAAAGTTCCAGAAAGGGGCAGGATTTCAGAAATCTGTGTTCATTATTTCCTCTTGGCAAACTCTAGGAAGTTGAATATGCTAATTTCTGGAGCTCCTGCTCAGATTCTGCTTTGGGGTACTAACTCCATTCCAGTGGCCAGATGACAACATCCATTATTAGATGTAGCCCTCCCTGCCAACACTAGCCACTTTTAGCTAAACTTGTAGGCTCCTATTCCCTTGGGTTTCCTGTATTCCTAGCTTTTATCAGTTTCAAGTGAGGCTGAACACAGTATATTACTAAGGGTACTGGGAAATGTTAAAATAATGGTGTGAAGGGATCTGATTCCCCAATCCTAACAATTGCCTGCCCTTGTATACTACACATGCATGGCAGGATGCATGACTTTTTGAGTTCAGGGACCAATCCCAATTGCACCATTATTTTTAATAGGGGCCTTGCAAGCCAAATATAGTTTGCAGGGTTCTCATTGAAGTCAGCTAAGGGGCTCTCCCTTGCAGAGTTTAACTTTGCATGCCCAGCCTGGCATAGACCAGACCAGCATGTTGACTGTCTTGTCCTGTAGCTCTGTGTAGCTCAAGCTGAAGGCAAAGCTCTTCAAAGTCATGGAAGCTGCAGGAAAAGGGTCTTTAAAGTGCTGGCTCACAGTGAGCCCTGTGGTTCACCATGACCCAGCGTGTTTGTTGACCGCGTTAGCCTGCAGCTCCCACAAGGGCTATGGGACAAGTCAGTAATGTGCTGGGTCACCTTAAAGTGCTGGACACACAAGTTGCAAGACTTCTAGCCAGAGGCTCCCTTGCAACCCATGTACCCAGCACCCCATTATAAGTATCAGAACTGTGATATCCCTGGGTGGGACACAGTGCGTATTCAGTTTATGGCACCATGCAAACCAGTCCCAAAGATGTCTGACAAAATTATATATGGAACACCTTTTGGCTGGTTTGCCATTATGGCGCTGCAAATTGGGGGAGAGGGGCGTGTTGCAACATGTCAAATGTAACATCTGCCAGAGGCTTAATATAAAACAACCTTCTAAAAACTCCTTTTTCCCTAAACCACTTAATTTTTAGTGTTTTATTTTTCTATCTGTACAAAATCTAAATTTGTTTACTAAAACGACCATTTTTAAAGTAAACTTGGAGCTCTAAAGTACAATATCTTGCAGCCAGCCAAGTCTGTGAAAATTCTGTATGCTGTTGGAAAAGGGATGACTTTCAGTTCTTGAATCTCAAGAAGCGCTAGTTCATAGTCCTCTTAGTTTATGGTATATTTGAAATGCTTAAACCTGACTGAATATTACTAATTATGAATGAATTACTAGTAATGAACATTTATAGGACTGAATATTACTAGTCATTCAACAAAGATTTTGTGGGGGGGGGTTTAATTTTTTTTTAACAGGGAAAATGAGATTCTAGTCGGATATACTTGAGGCAAGTTGCTTTCTTTTAAAAAAGACAGCTACTTGAAAATACAGGTTGCTAAAACTTCATCTTAAGTTGAAACGTCATAACTTGGAACCAATTTTCCCATAGGAACAATGTTGTACTTATAGTTGTACTTTCAGTAACAGCCAGAGTATTCAGAAATTAAAGTGTATGATTTCTTTTAGAAACTTCCTTATCTTTCAGAATTTCACTTGTTTATTCTACAGGCAGTCCTCGGACTTACGACACAATTGGTTTCTGAAAACCTCATTTTAAGTTGAAACGTTGCAGCACAGAACTGATTTTTTTTCCATAGGAAACAATGTTATAAATGGGGGATTGGTTCCTGAACCAAGGCCTGATACCCTATTTTTACCAAAAATACCCCAGAATTTTGTACCTGATCAATTATAGATGAGTAATATAGCTACATTAATGTATTTATATTGTAAATAGCAATCATATTGATTTGGAAGAACTTCTTTGAGGTGACTTTGCTGGACTTTTTGAAGGGCTCTTGGCTGGAGTCTTCTCGGGAGTCTTGGCCGCAGGTTTTTCTGGAGAAAAGAAAGTGTCCAAGGAAGTTTGGACAGATGTTCCCCAGGGAGATGGACAATGCAGCGAACTTGTTCGTTGGTGTGGCATTGCATCAGATTGAGCAGTGTAAAGTTGAAACAGGATGTCAGTTTATAAACTTCATAAGTGGCGTTCATTGTAACTTGAAACGTCTTAAGTCGAGGACTGCCTGTAACACAGAATTAGCAACATTAGCAGTCCAGGCAGAAATGGGATAATGCAAGAGAGGATATCAAAGAATACTTTATTACGGTATGATTTATTGCATGGTGTCAGGTATTTACTTGTCTATCTTGAAGCAGCAACAAACCACACTGACAAACTTTGCATTTAGCCTCTACATCACATGCATTGCTAGATTGTGTTGTAAAATTAAAAAGTGAGTAAGACCTATTCTGGGATCATACAACAATAATTGTCTTTTTTGTTTCCCTGAAGGAGTTCGAGTGTTTATTGAAAAGAAAGCACAGCTCACACTTCTAGGCACAGAAATGGACTATGTAGAACACAAACTGTCCAGTGAATTTGTCTTCAATAACCCAAACATCAAAGGAACATGTGGCTGCGGAGAAAGCTTTAACATCTGAAATCTCAGGACTTCTTCCTTTGTTTTCAACACCATGGAACACTTACTCAGCTTTGTGATTTTTCTGAAGCATTCGCATTTCTTTCAGGTTCTTAGGCTTTGTGAAGTGTGGCTGCCTTTAAGGAAAATAAAGTGATTTTAAAATTTAACCTGTGTGTTAAATCCCAGCACTAGTATATTTATGCAGTGAATTGGTCCCCAAAAGGTAAAGGACACTAAATTGTGCAGTAGAACTATGTTCTCATGTATTGAGGGAAATCAAGTTTCACTCTTCGTTCCATCTTTTAATTTCAGTTTCTTTTATTCCCACTCTCAAAGAAAAAGCAGTCAGTAAAAATATACTGGCCAAGTGTTCTGCTTTGATGAGGGAAAGTAATGCTATTAATGCAAGTAGGTTTCAGAGCTTACTTATGCTTGTCTAACAGAACACTTCAGTCCGTTCTTGAGAGGTTTCCAGTATCTTCATCCCGTGATAAATTTGAATATCAGCATTATAGTTATTTATTCTCCAGGAAAAGAGCTCTGAAAGTAGGAAATACTGACTTTTGATGCTAAAATGGTCATACATTGCTGGTTCATGAACTAACAAACTAATCCATATCTTTAAAATTATCCTCATCCTTTCATTTTGGAATGTCTTGCCTCTCATTTGCTTTTCCCCACAGCAGACACAGTCTCTCTGCAGTTAAAATAAATAGTGTGCAGGAACAACAAACCTTCAACCACTAAAGTATTATGGCAGAATACGCACAGGCCACCCTTTTCCCACATCCTATCTGTTTGTCTTCATCCTGTTCTGACCCAGGGAGCAACATTTCTAAAGTTTCTGTCAGACCTAGAGTCCTCCCTTTACACAGTATGTATGTATCCCTTGTATGTTGTTTGGGCACCCCACAAGGAAGTTATTTATTAATCAGAGGAAAGCATTTTGTCAATTTAGCTTTGCAGTCATGCTCCTGACCAACTTTGTGACAGCTGGACCTCATTAGTAACTTGTGAAAGTGTTAGGTTTTCCTTACAACATTGATGATAATTTGTTTCTACAGACTGTTCTGGATGAGAGTAACTTTATAAAAGGAGAATTTCACTTTCAAAAACAATCGTGCCCTGAACAAAAAATTATGAGATTTGCACTGGCTTTCATTTAATGAAAATGTCATTGTTTGGAGGATGCTATTTTTAATTAAAAGATACTTTAATCTCCTTTCTGCTAATTGGGACTCTTCTGTATACAAACCAGTCTTCTCATCTGTTAACATTATGCAGCACCTCTTCCCTTGCTAGTTGGGCATTAGTAAATATCAAGTATGGCTTTCAGTCTTTTGTTTCTCCTGTTCTTCCTGCTGTCCAAAGATGAAGCTTGCTCCAAAGCTATTCATTCATGCAACTTGAAGGAGAGACCATGAGAGGCAACAAAGTCATCGCTGCTTGACTGATTGGTCTAGAAGTCTGACAAAATGAGGTGACAAAGTTGTTTCCAAGGAAGACCTGGCTGTTGGGTTCTAAGAAGGGAGGGTGCTGGCATATGAGCGGGCAGTAGTGGAAGATGAAAATAAACAGGGCATTAGGCTTGAAAACTGACAATCCAGTAGTGAAATAAGTCTGGAAAGCTGCTAACTTGCATCTGAGCATGAAAACTGCAGAGGGCAGCTAAGAGAATCTGACTGAGGGGAAAGGAAAGCCATGGCATTCTTGCAGTAGTGAGCATAGCACAGGTCTCCTTTTTCCCACATCCCATCAGTTATAAAAGTGAAAGGTTCCAGAGGTATTGCTTGCTTAATGTTCATACTTGAATTTTTAATTTTGCATGTACGCAACTTTGGTGTGAAAGCACTAGTTTTCCTTCAATTATCAACTTTGTTACACACAGTTGCTTTGTTTTGTATTGTAGTTAAATGGAGAAAAGATGGCAAGACACTTGCTAGATTTGAATTTCTAATACCACAAGTCCTCCACTCCTGCCAAAAAAATTATGTTTGTGTTATTGTTGCGATAATGTCCAAACTAGTCCAAATGAAGGACAGTTCTTGGGATTGTAACTCTCTTGCTTCTAAGTAGAGGATAAAGAAAAGACTATGAATGTAACACTGGTAATTGGTGAAAGTGCTATTGCTGTATTCATTTTTTATTTGTTTTTTATTTTTGAGGGCTTTTTGCATAATCAGTGTTCCTTTTCATGTGTCCATGTAAATGCTGTGAGTGAAAGCTCTCACTTTCATATTCTCAGATAGTAAAAATGACAACTTTCTTAAAAGATTAAAACACCTAACGCACAATCTGTTAAACTTTATTTTTTATGTGAGTGCTAGTAACAGTTATGTATGAACATAATTTTGTTAACCCATTTATAACTTGTGCAATACTGTGTATGTAGCATTCTCAGTTGTAATAATAAATATTGTCTCTTGGTAAACAGAGCATATTTTTGGTTATAGTGGTTTTTGTATAGTTGTAGCAAATTAACTCATTGAATGAAGTCGGCTCAGACTACCATAGCTGTATGGAGTGTGAAGTACTATATTCCAAATAATATCCCCTTAATGATTCTGGATACTAACAGTATTAGAAAAATTCAGTGAGATAACCAAACAAGGACATGTAAGTCTTGCCTACTAGTAATGGGCTGATTCATTATGAACTTTTGACCTGTATCGCCAATCAGTGTCTTCTGGTCAAGTCTGGCTGAACAGTAGGGCTGTGTGAAATTTCTCTGGCTGTTTCATTTCGACGCTGTTTCGACTCGTTTCCTTTGCCTGCAGGAAAACAGAAAGTAAGGAGAGGGAGGGGGAAGGGCTGCTTTCATATTGACTTGTGTATCTGGCCAGTGACTGTGGTCCTTCCCTGAGGTCCCTTCCAATCTCAGTGCTCTGGGGGAGGGCTGGAAAAACAGCATAAAAGACAGCATTGTTTGAACTGGCCTGCTTTCTGTCACCCGTGTCATGAGTTTTGCTTGTCAACAGCCTGAGGTGCAGTTTCTCAGAAACCCCTGCACCTCTCTCCTTGAAACTTGGCAGGCTTTGTGGCCTCAGCAGGGGCAACCATCCCTTCAAGTTCCATCCAAATCAGGCAAGAACTGACAAAGTTTTATAAGCCGTTTCATGGTTCCCCATTCTAGCCTATAGGCAAAACATTGAAACAGTTTAAACAAAACAAAACGGAACAATGGTTTCAGATTGAAACTAAACACTGTCCCGTCGAAATGGAAGTCTAAACGAAACAGTGCTGTTTTGCACAGCCCTACTGAACAGTGGAGACTGGCTGTGCAAGTCAGTGGTAATGTTTTACTACTCACTGGCACCATAAAGCGTACCCAGCATTCCTGAGACTTTTTGTATCATGAAAGGGAATATTTTCAGCTGAAGTTAAAGCGTAGGAATCAAAATTCATGCTATTTTTTCTGCTCCAGGAGTACAGGTATGAGAGATTTCCCACGAGAATCACTTTTAAAGAAAAAAAAAGTGGCAAAGGATTAAAAAGATTACACATTTTTGCCGAAATTAGTCTTTGCTGTTTAATCCACGACCTGTACCTATAATCATCAGCATAACAACAGGAAAATTCTAGGTTTCAAAGTAAAACTTGGCATGGCTACATTACTGTGGCAGTTGTTGGGCATCAAGGCATGTAGTTTGTAAGGAGAACACAGTTAATTCCTAAACGAGATATCCCAGGTCCTGTAACAACACACAAATGTTACAGACTGAGTTCTCTGGTCTATGCAAAGACCATAGAAGTCTGAATCAGCAGGATTTCTTTACATAGGAAACCAAGGTGCAAAAAAGCTGCACGCATGGCCTCCAGACCAGATTTACAGATCAAATTTAGGCAACAGCAGGATTTCTTTTAAAGGATTTGCATTCATGACGGAAGTAAGGTAAGCAGCTGCATGTTCTTACCAAATTGTCAAAGGCCTTTGATATTGCTCTGATATTGCTTTTCTGTATATTCTTGGGAGAGGCTTTGAAGCTAGATTTATTTAACATAAACAATTAAGGTTTTGTATTTTTTGTTTTGAAATTCATTTTTAACAGAACTAATGTGGCTTGACTTGTATATGATAAATTGATTTATACTAGTAATTCTGTAATTGGCCTGCAAGATGGATGCTTAACCACATGCACAAGATTGCATCAGTGCACAGGTCAGGTCAACATGCAGGTCAATCTGCAGCCAGATCCAGCATTCAGGGTTGCTCTGCAGCAGGATCTGGCCAACATGCTGAATCTAGCATGTAGGTTGTGCCAGCAAACAGGGTCTCTCCACAGCCAGATCCAGTGTGTGGGCTCAGGTTGGTGCATGGGATCACTCCATGACTAAATATAACATGCAAGGCTGGGTTTGTGCACCAGATCACACCTGTAGACCAACCATGCACGCCAACCCTTTGCTGGACCTAGCCTGTGGACTGATCCTATTAACGGGATCTGCCCTGCAGACCAGTCCCATGTCATTCATCCAGCCCATGTGCTAAGTAGGTTGTGCCCCACTGATTTATACCATTACACATGCTAAGAATGAAAGAAAATAAAACAGAGAATTAGTCTTTTGTTCACTAGTTCAAAGTACTAGTTCTTTCCTTGTGTACCAACATATACATATTTGTCACAAGGTAGCAGCAAATTTCCAATACTAATCTTTCAAAATAGGACTCTTCTCAACCTATATTTTAAATTTCATTTTGATGTAGTATATTTGTATATTTTAGAGTAGTTTACTTCTATTGTATGTTGGTGATGACTATTTTCTTCAATCAATACTGGTGGTAGCTTTCTATATATTCTTTCTTTGTTTACCAGTGCTTGAATGATAAAAAGTGTGTTACGGAAATACAGAATGCTAAATCCTTTTACAAATTATGTGCAGCAATGTTGGAAAATCTCCTGTGGTGCACATGACAACAGCAGCGAACAGCCAGCTGTCACAAGGTGTTTATGAAGGGACAGGTATGAGTCAAAAGGCATGGTTTTCTTTTCTTATGGCAGTGGCCTCCTAGTGACCATACCTGCTCATGTAGTTAGGATTTTTAGAACTGAAAGTTCCATGTGTTCTTTGCACGCAATTTGTTCCTCCCATGACGTATTGCATGTAGTCATAAATCTGTTGTCAAGCGAATGGCTTGTAGGTTCATGATAATAGAAGTGCTTTGTCAGCATAATAGCATACTCATTTCTTGAGGTGTTCTGGATAGTTCTGTAGGGATGGAGCAGAGTACTTTGAACCTAGCTGGACTAACCATTTTAATTCTAAGTGGACGTGCCCAATACCTCTCAGATGCAACCAATTATTTGTATTTTATGTACTGCAATACAATCATCTAGCAAGTTTGATTTTTCCTTCAGAAGTATAGTGAAAGTGTCCTGGTACAAATAGACATTGCATTTATCCCAGGCCTGGTTGTCCCTTTGTTTGTCCCAGACCTAAAATGAGGAAATGGTGTGTACATATGTTGCCCTTCCAGTCAGCAGTCAGTAAGCAGATGCGTTCAGTATCACTTCTCTGGCAGCAGGCAGCTGGGGAGATCAACCATCCCACCATGCCTTCAGATAACCAAGTGTCCGTAGGTTTCTGGGGATTCCTCAGTGATGTGCAAAGCACCCATTGGATGTTCTGCAGGGTGGGAAGGGGCTGGCAAAATCTTTGTGGGCAGGACTTCAGGGGAAATGACTGCTTAATTGCTGCCCCAAACTGCCTGGCATTGCTTGCTGCTACCACTGCTATCAATGAGTAGCACAATTAATCTGGATGTGGTCCTTCAATACAGGCCATATTGGCCCAGTGGTGTGGGCTTGTGCTTGAACTTTTGCGGAAAAGTCTCCACTAGTGGGCCCTGGCAGCTTACTTGCCTTTGGCCATTCATGCAACAAGTGAAAAAGGACAAATCTCAAGGAAGACAAGAATTGCTGGATGTCATCCACAGGGAGGCACATGGCTACATCTGCCTTGCCCTCCTTGCCAGCAGTTGTCACCCTGAATATGTTAGCTACAGGTCAACACAGTGTGTCCAGGCTGGTGTAGTAACATCTCCAAACTTAGCAGCATTTCTGTGCCAGGGAGATGAGCAGCAGCTGATGGGAACAGATCATCGTGGCCACCTGGCATGACAAGCAGTGGCGGATGAACTTTCACTTGCCCAGGGGTACCTTTATAATGATCTGCACCAAACATGCCCCTTCCCCCTGGTGGCAAACCACTGGGATGAGAAGCACATTGTCATCATAATATGGAAGCTCACTCCCCTGGACTGCCTCTGGTTTGTGCCAGACTATGTCAGAGTTGACAAGTCCACAGTGCTCAAAACTGTGGGGTAGAGATATGACTGGCAACCAGTGGGTGATGTCCCTCAGATCACGTGTCTTGCCGACCCACAGGAGACAGTGAATGGTTTTGCCAGCCTGGGGTTCCTCAACTACGTTGAAGCTTTTGGTGGTGCAGACATCACCATCCTTTCCCCTGCACACTGTGCGTCAGCCACAAAGCCTTTTTCTCACTTGTGCTGCAGGCAGAAATGGACCACTGTAGCCATCTTGTGCATGCGAATGCTGGCTGGTTGGGCAGGGGGCATGATGCCAGGATCTTTAGAAACTGTTCTCCCAGAATTGATGGAGCAGCACAAGTTCACCCCAGATCTTCTCAGCAACAAAGTGAAGGGAGTGACAGTACCCCTGTGGTTACATGCGAATCCTGCCTACCCTCTACACTCACGGGCTGCCTGGGTGCCTGCAAGGAACTGTTTAACTACTGGCTCAACAATGCCGGATGACCCTGGAGAGTATATCTGGGCACCAAAGTCTGGCTGGAGGGGCCTGCAGACCTGCATGCAAATCTGTGAGTCCAAAGGGGAGCCCCTGCCTGAGCCACAGCCAGTTGAAGCAAAGCAGCCACTGGTACTCAGGCTCTTTTCCTGCCAATTGTCCCACAGGGTGCATGTGCATGTGTGAGATTTACTGGCTGACTATTTTGCCAGACTCTAGGCTGAAGATTGGTGCAGTGGCATGTAGAGGCCCCTTTCACATGTCTCATAATTAAACATTGGTAACCAAGCTTCAGCTTGATTTCAAGAGGGGCCAGGATTGGGGCAAAAAGGGTGCACTGTGGGATGCCTGGAGGACTGACTGGATGACTTGTCCCAAGACAATGCTTTAAGACAACCATCCATGTTGTCCTGGAAGAAACTTACTACTTCATATCCCAAATGGGTTTTTGGGTTTGTCCCTGGGACATTGGAAGTGGCAGAGACTGCACTCTGCCTTGAGAGAAAAGAGTTTCTTTTCTAGTCTTTTTGCAATGTCTAGTGATAGCTAAAACTAAAATTGACTCTTTTCTTCAGCACAGTGGTTCTCAACCTTTTCAGGGTCAAGCCATACTGCCACTACTTTTTTTTTGTTGAATGCAGGCTAGTTCTCCCTGGCTGAGAACCACTGTTGGTGCTGCCTCAGCTTACCTGAGTGCTTCTCAGCTGGGCTCTGCTGCAAGTATGGAGCTGTGCAACTGGGACAAAGCTGCCCTGTTCTGCAAATCCAACTTAGGAAGGTCTGTGCCATGGATGCAGGCTCCTTCTGCTTTGATCAACCTAAAACAGGCAGGAGCTGCCTCATTCTGCACAGCTCTTTCTGGTCCAGTGCCCCAAATGCTTCTCTTAAGCAGCTGGGACAGTTTCACCTGTTCCTATTTCCAGTAAGCAGCTTTACTGCCTGCTTTGGGTTGATTAGAGTGCCCTAATGCACAGGGAGTGCATGGGGCAGTTTTACCTAGCCACTGCCCTCACAGCTCCCCTGAAGGGGCCTCTTATCCCTCCAGTGTGCCATGCACCCCAGTTGAGAACCATCACTTTAGCTGCTGAAACAATGAGAGAGCCCTCGAAATACTGTAAAATTTGAGTAATAATTCCTATCATCCTGAGCTTTTTCCATGGCTAGAAACCCAGATGCTTTCCTAAATGCCCCCGTTTTCATCTTTCATATTGGTCACCCTGAGTCATTTGTGCAGTCCTGTCCTATCTAATCATAATATCCCCTTTGATTCCACAGCAAAGAGTGCTATGAAACATGGCGAGTCACTTCTTTTTCTCTGAACAGAGCATTTAGATTTGATTTCCTCATCTTGATGTTAATCATTTTCTTTCTTGCCCTGAATTAATCTCAAAGAGGAAACTGCATGTATGCACACCTTGAGATAGGGAGACCTAAGGAAGGGTAGCGTGATACCCAAAAGCTTAAATACCGACCATACAGTTTGTTCAATACAAAATATCATCCACCAGAACTCTTGCATCTTGAAATAGGATGATGGGGTCAAGTGCTACTGAACTTGATGGGCATTCTCATGATGCTCACTGACATTCAAATGTTGGATGCAGTCAACTTGCCAGAGAATAGGTAGCAGCCAGAGCTTTCCCTCGAGGCTACCATCCTGTGCTCCAGAGCCTCAGCTTTCATTAAAAATAGTTACAACAGCTTTCATAGTTGCAGATGTAAACTTCCAAAGGAGGCTTGGCTGAACATTTTTTTTTTTTCAAAATTGCTCTCTGGCCATTTTCAGAAATAAGATTGTAGATTTATTTATTTCTTTTGACAAAAAAGAATTTTTTTAAATTTTGTTGGAAAAGGTTTATTCATGTTTCCCCCCCTGAAGCCACACTTTCCCACATCTGACCAATACCACTCAAACTGTGAGTATGAAATAACGCCGTAGCACCTTGCAGGAAACACGAGCTGTGAGAACCACTGATGATGACTGAATGAAGTCTCAAATGATCCCAAACAGAAACACAGCAAGGGATTGAAGAGCAATTTTAAATACTATTTTTCTGAGCTGCATGCAAAACATTTGAACTCGGGGATCATTTTTCTTCTCCAACTCTGGGAATCTCCCTTTTTGTTATTAGCTGCACACTGTGAAAGCATGCACGGGTGGAGGAAGAAGGAACTAGGGTAGTGCCTCTACCCTCATATTGCAGGAGTACAGGATTCACCTTGATCAAAGTCTTTCCTTCTTTCAAAACTCCCTCTAAGAAACGGTCTGACTTCTAGGAGCTAAGAAATGCAGGCTATAAACCAAGCTTTCCCTGAGTTTCAGCACCACTGTTACCTACAGCTGCCTGCGAGCTCAGAGGAGCTCATCTTGGGCTGGGAGTTCACCCGGGGTTAGACACAATGCACACATAGAAGGGAGCCTTCTGGCATAATAGTGGCTTCATTTTAAAGGCAGGCATGGTTCTTTGAGTAGATGCGATATCTTTTATTAGACCAACTGAGTAGTTGCAGAAAAGTCCTTTGCAAGCTTTAGGGCACAAGCACCTTTCTTCAGGCATAGGGAGTCCACAGGTGGCGTGTAGAGGGGAACACGGCGGGGTATGTGCCCCCCCAGAACTGGCTGCTGCCAAAGCCGCCACCAGTTTCTGTGGGCAGTCGCCACCCCCCACCACTGACGCAGCCAGCGGCAGCTGCGGGAGGTCCCCACTTGCCACCTGCTGCTCGCCACCTCCCCTCAGCGCCGACACCACCGCGGCCGCCTGCGGGCCGTCCCCGCTCGGCCTACCCTCGCCACTGAGGTCGCCCTGCCAGCCTCCAGGGGCACGCGGCGTCCGTGAGGGAGTGAGACGGCCGGGAATGAGAGGAGGTGCAAGTGTGGCAGGATGCCAGTGAGCTTGTCAATGGGGAGAAGTCAGAAAGACAACAGGTCAAGCGGGGGAGGAGGGCGGACAGCAGGGGAAAGAAGAGCCAAGGGTGAGTAAGGGGGACACGGGAGTGGAGGAGCTCGCAGGATGAGGATGTGATGAGCCCTCAGAGGACGGGGCGAGGCTGCACTCCCCTCTCCTTTCTCTCCCCGGCCCTTTCTCTTTGCTCCCTTACCGTGCTTCTGCTTGGGAGCACCTGGGACCTCCCTGAGCAGGCTCCCTCCTGGGGGAGGTGCAAGAGGCCAGGTCCCAGGAAAGGATTGCCCACCCCCCAGCCCTGATGCATCCCCAGCGCCTCCCCCTCCCCACGGCCCCTCTGTGACGGCCCCTGCGGTCAGAGGAGCCGCTGAGCCCGGGCCGCGGGCGCCGCAGGGCACCGGCATCGCAGGCTGCTTCCAGCGACTCGGCTAATGCAGGGGGCATTCTTCCTGCTTCGCCCTCGGATGGGCAGGTTTGCTTGATGCCTGCTGCTTTCTCTCTCTCGGGACTGACCTGCCCTCTGCTTTCTCCCAGGGACTGTCCCGACCGCAGCGGCTTGCTTTCAAGACAGGCTGTTGGAAAACCATCGCATCCGTGTTGCTTTCCCAGATGTTGCAACCTGCGATCCCTGCAGGCAGGTTGTGCTTGGGGTTGGGAAGGATATTCCTCCAGATGCTTTTACTTCTCAAGGCACCCAGAAGCGGGTAATGCAGTTGTGGTACATGGGAAACTATGCAGAGCTGCCTACTGACTTTGCAGACCCTGCGGAAGTAAATCCAGCCTCTCTGGACTGGTTAGGGCCAAATGTAGTGACTGGCCAAGCCAGGGGGAGGTTTGGATGTGCTTTCCAATACACTGAGCTCTTTACAGCGATAGGGAGACATTTATCTTATTTTCCCAGCAATTTGAAGGAGCTATAAAGGAAACGTGTTACTCTGCAGATGCACTTGAGCTCTTGAAAAGGCTCTGAATGAACAAGTTTATTGTCATGTGAAAACGACTGTGTTTCATTTATTCTGGCAAATGCTTCCACTTTTGGACCAAAACATCTGTCTTTTAACACCATTAAAGAAACAGCGTAAAACCAAGCCAGCTTAGAAAGCTGCAACATCGCCTCCAACAATAAGGACATTATTTGATTTTTCCTTGCCTGTTTAAGGTTGGGCTCCCTGCTAAAATTGTGGTAATTTTATGAAATGTTGATAGCAGTAGGTTAGGAACTGAGCAGAGAACAGAAGCTTATTCCACACAGGTCATGAGAAATGTTCAGGCTGTTCAACTAGTGGTGAGTGGACAAGGCATCATTTCACAGACATGTCTGGTAGTGGTGCCTTTAGAAAACTCTATTCACTTTTGCACACTTTAGTATGAGAAAGATGTGGATAAATTTAAAAGTAGTAGCAAAAATAATGAAAGGCCAGCAGAAAATGACATATTGAGGCAGCTTAAAAGTCTTGGTAAGCCTAGGCAAAATGATTCTCTACAAGTACCTGACAGACACAAGCCCTAAGAAGAGAAATAAATTGCTAAGGATTCATAGATTGTTAGGGACTGGAAGGGACCTCATAGATCATCGGGTTCAGCCCCCCTGCACTAGGCAGAAAAAGACAACTGAATAGGAAAGGAACAACTAGAAAAATGGGT